CTTGTATTTTCAATCATAAAGTCATATAGAAACATCATATACAATAGCATGTCCCATAGAATGTTAACCACATAAAAATGTTAAATTGAATTTAAGTCTAGCTAGTAGAAATAGAAATGTATGCCACAATAATTCAACATTTCATTATAATTAAAAAACTCTTGATGACTCTGAACTCTGAGAACGTGTTTCTTAAAATACTGTTTTTTGTGTTTTTAAGAGAAATTTCTAAATAAAATAGACTTACTGTTTATTTCAATATCGCAATGAATAAAAATCAAATGACTATATCAATAGAAAAAAATCTTAAAACTGTACGGTACATGCATTATGTTGCTTATTTCATACGCAGATAAGTCACCTTGCTACCTGTGCATGCTTAAGCAACAGAAAAAGATTCCCTTCATTCTTCAGAACAGTTCCAAGTGACTATTATCAGAGCAGAGCCCTGGCTCAGCTGGTGAAGCACTTTGGATGGACCTGGGTTGGAGCCATTAGAAGTGATGATGACTATGGCAACAGTGGGATGGCTACTTTTGTGGAAGCTGCACTGCAAGAAGGAATTTGCGTTGAATATTCAGAGGCATTTTATAAAACCGATCCAAGAGAGAAAATTCATAGAATTTTAAAAACTATTAAAAATTCCACATCTAAAGTTATCCTGGCCTTTTTACCCCAAGTGGAGATGTCCATGTTACTACAAGAAATGCTGCAGCAAAATGTGACAGGTGTACAGTGGATAGGCAGCGAGTCTTGGATTACCTCCAGGAATCTCGCCACTAACGAAGGGAGTAAACTTCTTGGAGGTGCAATTGGATTTGCCTTTAGAAAAGCAACAATACCAGATCTGGAAGAATTCTTACTGAGTCTCAGTCCTTCAGCTGTACCTAACAGCCAATTTATGGAGGAGTTCTGGGAGACTGTTTTCAGCTGTAGCCTGAACACTTACAACAAGTCAATAGTGACAAAGACATGCACTGGATTTGAGCATTTAAGCCAAGTGAATAATGAATACACTGACGTATCCGACATGAGGATCCCCAATAACGTATATAAAGCTGTGTATGCCATTGCTCACTCGCTGCACGAACTTCTCACATGCTCTGATACAATATGTCCAAACAAAATAAGCATGGAGCCATGGCAGGTACGTTCTCCAGTTGCATATGTACATTTTGGCAAAGGAAACTGGCACGTTGTTATATTTCTTTATTATTGCAATGAATATTCTCTCCGAAAAAAAAATTGCTTTAAAAATAACAGTTCGAAATTAAACTGTACCCCAAAATTGAATGATACATCTTTTAAGAATCGCTATCAATTTCTGGGTCATGTCCTATATGGACATTAAAACATTTCCCTGGGTTTAAAATCTTTAATTCCTCAATTTACAGTACAAATGCATTACAAAAGAGTCACTAAAACTGGGATCAATTCATTGTCAAAAAATGTTCTGATTACGATGAACCATTAAATATAGAAGGCTTTCTTTTATTATCTTTTGTTATTTAAATATTTCAGTATTCATTTCAAGGTCTTTCAGTAGAAATATATACACCCATCCATCAATTTACAATCATAATTTGTTCCTTGAAAACTTTTGGTAAGGTGAAATATCATTAAATAAAAATGCATTTCCCATTATTTTACACAACCTTGTTTCTAAAGTCATGAAAATTATCGTATATTATTTATCTTTAGCCTAAAGGATCACTTACAGTATTCATCGAAGAACACTATTGCTTATGATAATTATGCTTTTTACCCTAGTACACTTTACAACAAAATAAATAAAATATGTAACGATTGTAAGAAAGCAGAGGACCTGGAAAGGTGGAAGCTTCTATTCTGCTACAAAAGACTGGACTTTGTCCAGCAAAACTTCACAAAACTCAGAAATTGTCAGTTTGGTCTAGTGGTTGGAAAAGCACAAGTTAAGCCATGTGTTTAGCCATTGATGTACCTCTATCCATCTGTCTTATGCAAATAATCTCTGGTAGGTGTAGGTGTAGGTTGGGTTAGGTGGATGTGGATACAGTTCGGGTTTGGATTTTGTAAACAATATGAAATTGGTTTATTATCATCATATCATTCATATTTTTTAATTAATTTATTCAATTTCTAGAACATTGATTAAACAAACTTGCAACACAATTTAAAGCTTTGCTGTTTCATTTATATGCCAAATTTACATTTGTGTTAAAGTTCTCTTTCCATGAACCTTTCCACAGGTACTGAACCAAATGAAAAGCATTAATTTCACCACCAGGACTGGAGAAGCTGTCTATTTCGATGAGAAAGGAGATTCAGCAGCAAGATATGATTTAGTAAACTGGCAGATAAATGATAATGGCGTTGCTGAATTTATTACGGTTGGATATTATGACACGCATCTTCCAGATGACCATCGGTTTAAAATGAATAATATTAAAATTGTCTGGAGGGATGGTCAGGATAAAGTAAAGGATTTTAAAGTATTATTTCTATTTTCTGTATTTATTGTAAAGGGTATATTAAAATTAAATTTATGTTCATTCTGATTTTTCCAACATGGAAAATAAACAGTAAATTCTTCCAAAGCATATTGAAAAAATTTTATACAAGATATTGAGATATTTAAGCAATCAAGGAAAAGAGCAGGAAAATGTGTTTACATCATGCTTTTAATATCCTGATTGAATTTAATTTAACATTCATCTGCATTTAGAATGGATTAGAATAGTAGATGTTTGCCATTACTTGGAAATCAAAAACAGAAAGTACATTTATAGAGCAAGACATTTTTTCCTTAATTCAACATTAAAATATAAAAACTAATATATCATGGCTGCAATATTCACATTTCTAAATTTCACAATTGTTTAATTTTTAATGTTTCAAAAGAAAATCACAGGACAGTCTTTAATTAGAATGTATGTTTTTTTTCCCACTGAAAACATCTCCTTTTTTTAAGGTACCCCAGTCTGTATGCAGCAAAACCTGTTTCCCAGGGACACGTAAAGCAATTAAGAAAGGAAAACCTATCTGTTGCTTTGACTGCGTTCAGTGTGCACAAGGAGAAATTAGCAACCAAACAGGTGAGATAAAATAATATCTCAAAGTAATTAACAAAAAGGCTCCTTTTTTTCTTTTTCTCTTAGTTTTTCTCTTGTACCTCGGCATGCTCAGTGAAAAACATACACAGGAATCTTTGCGTCTTTACAATAAAGGCCAAAAATATGAGAAAAAGTACAGGTACATATCATATGGCCACTGAGGCAAAATTGAATGACTCAGATTTCCAACAGAGATCCTCAGAGACTTATGATACACTTTAAGTACTGTATACTCATTAAGCATATTATTGTAGGTTGAATCCCATTAATTCAATTTTTTAAAAGATGATATATCAGCTTGCTATAGAACCCACGGAATGCGAGTGAAATATGGAGAATAAACTGCACCATACCAGTTGTTTAGAGACACCAAATTTAACTGAAAGGTGGTGATCTTGCTGACACTGACATGAATGTGCTTTACTGATGCTTATGCATAACACAGTCTCATGGAAAAAGAGGGACTTAAGATGGTGACTGCATATAATTAAAAAACTGAGAAATGAAAAGCGGTAGAGGTTTTTAGATTTATGCTATGAGTATGTTTTGAAATTATTCCCCCCAACATTTGCCACTGATATTTCAGAAATCACCTTGTGCACAATGTCATACAAATGATGTAATGCTAATTGATGCACATATTTTTGTTTTATACAGACTCTCTTGACTGTGACAAGTGCCCTCTAGAATACTGGTCTAATGAAAACCGAGACCAGTGTATTTTGAAGGACACTGAATTCCTGTCATATGAAGAAACCTTGGGGATACTCCTATCAATTTTTTCAATGCTTGGAGCATGCTTCACTTTAGCTGTTGCTATAATTTTGTTTCACTATAAACATACTCCAATTGTTAAAGCCAATAACTCTGAACTGAGTTTCCTTCTGCTCTTTTCATTGACACTGTGTTTCCTCTGTTCACTTACTTTCATTGGCCAGCCCTCTGACTGGTCCTGTATGTTGCGCCACACAGCATTTGGGATCACATTTGTCCTGTGCATCTCCTGTGTTCTGGGCAAAACAATAGTGGTGTTAATGGCCTTTAGGGCTACACTGCCAGGCAATAACATTATGAAATGGTTTGGCCCCAAACAGCAGCGTTTAAGTGTTCTGGGTTTCACACTAGTACAGGTCTTGATTTGTATTCTTTGGGTGACAATATCACCTCCTTTTCCCAACAAGAACATAAAATATTATAAAGACAGAATCATTCTGGAGTGTGACCTGGGATCTGCAGGTGCATTCTGGGCTGCGTTAGGGTATATAGGATTCCTCTCTGCCCTGTGCTTTGTACTCGCTTTCCTGGCTCGGAAGCTGCCTGATAACTTCAATGAAGCCAAATTCATTACATTCAGCATGCTCATATTCTGTGCTGTCTGGATCACCTTTATCCCAGCCTATATCAGCTCCCCTGGAAAGTTCACAGTAGCTGTCGAAATATTTGCTATTTTAGCTTCAAGTTTTGGGCTGTTGTTCTGTATATTTGCCCCCAAATGTTACATTATCTTATTACAACCCGAGAAGAACACAAAAAAACATTTGATGGGCAAAATGCCCAATAAGTAACAAAACATGCAACTGGCATATGTTTACTCATCCTTGAATTGCTTGAATTACTTGTTTATTCATTCATTTGTAAGATTCTTTTTTCTACACCTGTTATTGTATGTTCTTAGCAATCACAAATTATATATTTAAAATGTCAATAAAATTGGATCTCTACACACATATTAGTAAATAGTTGCTCTTTGTGCATTGTTTAAAGTATCGGTCACAAATATGTACAGTATATGCAATAAAAAGAAAAATATAATAGTGCATACTATTTCCCTAATCTCTAGCTTCATATATTTGATCTCTATCTCATCTTCCATTATGGTTTATCTGAAAAGACAAAGCATAAACACACGTGTTTTAATTATGTAATGCTAAGTGCAAAGTATGTAAAAGCTTCCATTCATAAAATACTATTAAATCTAACTTTCCTTGGTTAAGAAAAATATACATCTGAATTTAGAATTGTTATCACACTTTTTAAATTTGAAAACATGGATTTTTCCATGTAGAATTTATGTATAAAATTCACAAATGCTAGATTTTATTTTCTTACTTACTTTTCATTGGCCAGCCCTCTGACTGGTCCTGTATGTTGCATCACACAGCTTTTAGGCTACCAGCAACCAGCAACCACCAATCTTCCAGTCACAGGCGCAGATCCTGAGCCACAGAGCCACTGCACCGCCTGACAGAGTGCATTTTGGGAATACTACAGAGATTCTCAATATAAGTGTATATTTAAATGTATAGCATTTTGAAAGAACATTCAGACCATATCAAGAGAAACTGGTACATCTGAAAATGTCCTGAATTTCTAATACATGGAGAATACCTGTTAGTTCTGAAGTGTTTTGGAGCTGTCAGAGACAGTGAGTAAACACATGGCCAGTTTCAACCTGGTTCAGTCTGATTGAAGGCTGGTTGTGCTCTTCTGATAAGAAATGTGTAATGGACATACATCTCACTGACTCCCACCACTGCTCTGCCACATTCCTGTAGCTGTTCCTTAAATGGTTTAAAAGTATACGGTTATCTAGAAATAGAAGAAAAAAAAGAAACTCACCTACTGTAAGAAAAGTAGTTCAAGTTGGTGGCTGCGTCTGCATGCATAGGCTGCAAAGGAACAGGTAGAGGGTTTATTCCAGCTGAAAAGAGAAGAAAGGAAACACAACGTTTCGGCCTTGGAGCCTTCTTCAGGTTTGAAGACCTTAAGAAAATGTACACTTATCTTAGAGTTCGAAGATGACAATAACTGAAATAACACAAATGGTGGCGTATTGAACTTGCAGAATGGCAACACTCTTTTTGAGGTACTGCTTTTAGGAACCTTTGGAATGAACTTCTTGTTTAAAGCTCATCTGAAATGGATATCAAACACTTTTAACATGAAAATGCTTATTTCGGTCATTACGAATAAGTGCAAATGAAAAAATACTTCTATCGTCTTATTAAAAATATTGTGGCTGTATGGGTACATATTTCTAGAAACATTTGAGCTATATAATTAATTTTAAATTAAACAAAAGTCAGGATTAAATCAACATCTAAACCCACAAACTGACTAGATATTCCAGATAAGTTTATTAATAGCTTAGTGTTTGCCTGAGGCCTGTGTGATGGAGCCATGATCAAGAGCTGTGAGGGATAAGGGTTAAGTTAGGTTTGTACTGGAATTAGCAAATTGTACAGTAGGTGGCTCATAGCTCATTCTGGACCAGATAAATAGCTTTTGATAACATAATGGGCATTAGATTTTAATGTACTCAACACATTTATGTTTCAGCATAACAATGTGTTAAGAAAAGTATGCACAAATAAAAACATGCCGTTACTTTTAAAAGTTGTCATTTGCAATTTAAAATAGTATTTTAATTGTCATTTAACATTCTCCAATAATAAAAAAATGTTCAGAAATCATATTTTATTTTGTATCTTTATTATAAAAACCAGCAGCCATATCACCCTTCAGCTCTCAACTGGCTACCCACTGAGGATAAGCAGGGTTGAGCCTAGTCAGTACCTGGATGGGAGACCTCCTGGGAAGCTGTGGTTTCTGCTGGAAGTTGTGTTAGTGGGGCCAATAGGGGGTGCCTACCCTGCAGTCCGTTTGGGTCTTAATGCCCTGTTCAGTATAGTGGTCGGCACACTATACTATAATGTAGTGGGTGCCATCTTTCGGATGAGATGTTTAACCGAAGTCCTGATTCTCAGTGGTTATTAAAGATCCCCGGGCATTTCTCAATAACAGTAGGGATTTATCCCGGTGTCTGGGAAAAATTTCCCTTCTCGGCCTTTAATGTGGCCTCCAAATTGTCCCCATGTATGACCCCAAGTTGCACTTGCCCTGCGATGGACTGGCGCCCTGTCCAGGGTGACGCTGTATGGTACAAAGCGTTTTGGCGAATGACATGACAATTACATTGTATGTCTTAAACTGTGTCCAGGTGGCCTCGTTTATCACCAAATACTTTCCCTAGAACATCGTGGAAGGACCTTGAGCTGTATTTAAATTTACTAGCAATGTAAATGTGTGGAATATTATGGATGACAGCAATATTAACATAAGCCGCCTTGTGATGATGTATGAGACGCTTTAAAAACAAACTGAAAATGTCAGACAAAGCCATATTTGATATTGCTGCCCTATGTATCTCAAAGGATTATGTGCCTGTGTGAGGAACTTTGTGTACTAATGTGAGTAAATTAATGTTTTGTAAAGAGGAAACACTTTTATTCTAGTGTATAACTTTTTCAAACATTTTCAAACTTTGATTGATTGGTTGGTTGGTTGTTTGGTTGATTAATTGATTTTCAAAGTTTTGTCCCAGAAGGTCAGCACATGAGAGAAGTTCTTAGGGTTTATTTGCTGACGTTTTTGAAGCAACACATATTTAAAGACAATTCTAAGTGAAATCATACAGTATGCAAAATATTACATTACATAAAATTAAACAAGAGTAAATTAAAATGTACCTGAACATTTTGTGACCTATTAAAATTCACATGCTCATTAAAGGAAGCAATGGAATAAAATCAGCTGAAAGCTTTACTTTTCCAAACTTAAATGGTGTTCCAAAAAAAGCTTTAAAAAAGACTGGACAGTCAGAGCTAGATTATGATCAAAACTAAGTTGTTGGTTTTTAATCAGCAGGCACATGACACACAACTCACCTTTGAGAGTTACTGTTTTGATGAGAACATGAATTCCATATGATGTGTATCTCGGCACGTGGGAGCAGTAGCCTAACGTACAGTATAAAAAGCAGAGCAAATGCATACTTTGAAATTTGAAGGGAATTTAAAAATGTTACTCCTGAAAGTTGTCATGATTGCTCTTTTAACAGAAGCAAAACATCCCACTTGCAGGCTGCTTGGCAGATGGAAGACGCCTGCATTTTCAAAGGATGGAGACATTGTCATAGGTGGAATATTTTCAATAAACACAGATCGTTCAGGTATAAACCCAGACTTCAGAAACATTCCAGAAAATGTGGAATGCATGGGGTAAGTTAAGATCGTAGGTATAGGATATACACTGCAGGAATTCAATACTAAAACTATGAATCATAACAGCAGGTGAGTAAGCAGTATGTTGATCTTTTGGCAGATTGTGTTTGTTACCTATGCAAACATAACTACAGTATACGGAACATGGAAAATGTCTTGCTGAAGAAAAAATCTTATTTATTTCAAAACAAAATGGCATGTTTATACAATATAAGATTCTCAGATCTTAAATGCAGGTATAAATGGCTATAATTATTGTGTAATGCATGCACCCTATAAAAATATAAACATTTAATATAATTCTTATTATGAGGTCTTTGTATGTTCTTACATCTTCAGCACACATTTCAGAGAATTTAAGTTTGCCCAAACCATGATCTTTGCAATACATGAAATAGACAACAATAAAGAACTGCTACCAGGTGTTTCCTTGGGCTACAGGATCCATAGTGTTTGTAATACTATTCCTGCATCTGTTGGAGCTGCCTTGGATTTAATAAATGGCCAGGAAGAAGGACCTTTGTCTGAAAGTTCCTG